TTAATAACCGAAAAGGTTTTTTGGGTAAGAATCACTTTTCCTACCTTATTAAAGAAGAAGAAATATTTAAAATCTTCACTTTGAACTCCGTTAACTATTCCACAGCATTGCACTAAGAATATTTGACCACCTGGCTTAAGTCTGCAAAAGCTATTATTTGTCCTGTCCTATATTTGGTCATTTAATCGGTGCTAGGCTATGCCTGTAGCTATCGCAGTTCCGGAACAAGATCTTTAGATCTACTAAAGCTCATGCTATAAAAGCATCAGAGCCAAATGTTCCACAGTGGTCAAAAACTCATTTAGAAAGGTTTAGAGAACAAAGAAAGAAAACTCCATGGCCCACTTCATCTCGAACAGGATGTGCAGTCCTGGTTCCCTCATCTCCAAAAGATCATCACACAGTAAGAGAGACGTGCAGAGAAAGATGACAAAGATGATGAGGGGTATGGAACAGCTTCCCTACAAAACCTGAATGCATAGCCTAGGATTCATCGACCTGTACAAAGAACAATAAGGGGGGCATGAGTGGCGTGGAAAAGGTAAATGGAGATCAATTGTTCACTGTTTCTCCTAATACAAAAAGTAGGGAGCATCCAATAAAATTGAGAGATGGAATCTTCAAAAAAGGGATGCTGCTTCCCATAAAACCTAGTTAAGGCACGGAACCCATGCTAAAGCTGCAGACAGCAAAGTCTACGAGGGTTCAAAAATGTGCTCAGAAGCCACTAGAAAAAGAAATAATGAAAAATCTCTCCATCACAAGCCTGAAAAAATAGCAAGATAACAATTCTGCTCAGAAATCCCTCAACAGCAAGTTTTCAGAGGCTGTGAGAGCACACCAGAGAACCGCTACTACATGTTCATCTTGTTCTTACACTTTTCTTTCAATGTCTGCTATTAATAGCTACCAAAGAATGGATACTAGACTGGACTATGAACTGGTCCATTTAATCTGACCCAGCATGTTCACAGTTAGAGAACTTGCTAATACAGTACCAGAGATATATAACTGGGGAGAAACCCTTTGCGATCAATTACCCAGATCCCTCCCCAGATCTGTGCATTTTATGATGATTTAAGGCATCCCTTAGAGTAACTTAAAAGAAGTGAGATGCAGAAGAGCTGTGTTAGGAGTAGAATGGTCCATAAAAGAACCTTCATGGATCAAATGCATTTGCATTCTGTGCATTTTGGCTGTAGCTAAAGGCTGTAGCTTAGTGTGACTGTCCAATCTGTTCCAGATTTCACAAAAACATGTTTTTATAACTGTGAATTCTGTCTGCCTATAAAGCAGTTAGGATTTGTGGTGTTAACAGTTTATTCTTTCTCTTCAAGAAAGATTAAGTTCTTCAAAAGGAAAGCTTCAGTGCAAAGCAAAGACAATCTGAGCATCTCTGGAAGATGCCTAGTCTAAGTACAGTCTAGAAGGTAATGAGCAATGAGGATAGAGACAACATGAAAGAATGTTGTTGTTTTTCCCCTATAGTATAGCCCTCTGTGAGGTGATCTTCTTTAATAATTCCAAAAGAAGATAAATACTCACTTTACAAAGTTGAGCTATGGTTCATTAATCTCTATCAGATTTGTGGCATAGAGGATGCTGTATTCACAAATACAATGCTTAGGCAGTCATAATGAGGATTCTGAGTTCTACCTTTATGTCTCACCTAGCTTGCTTTGTAGCCAAAGGGTTTTTTTAGCATTTTTTTCTAACTTCCAATTTAACTATTTTAGAAACTTTACCAACATAGAAGGCACTTGATATTGAAGTTTATTTAATCAACTGCAATATAAAAGAAATAAATCAAACGCACACCAGGATACCTTCCTTTATGCATTCCAAGGACACAGAGGATGCAGAGCCTTCACTTAATTTAGTAACAACAAACCAAGATACTAGACAAAATAGAACTACAACTGGAACTAAATTCCAAAGAACTTCAGCAATGGCTGGTATGAACATACCATCGAGATTTTAGACATCAGCTACAATAGCTGGTGGAATCAAATACAGCATTCAAGTTGTTCCATGACGATTTGACGAGTTGGATGGTTTGGGTCCTCACAACAAAGCATTAAATGATTGTTTTTTCCATTGCAGAAATGAAGACTGGAAATATTTCATTACAGAGACATCATACCTTGCCACAGAAAGGGTTATGATCCTGTTTCACTAAATTGCTCTTCACGACTGGATGCACTGGGTTTTTCAGGATTCCCAGGCACGCTGACACAAATGCAGAAAGAAGACATCTGCCAAAGCTGGGCGTGCTAAGCTGTCTGTATTACTGAATTGTCCCCCAGCAGAAGAATCAGTAACTACAAGCCAAAGGAAACAACCCTCTCAGTCTCAGCAGCAGCTGATCTTACCCATGTTTCCACAAGACTTTTAGGTCTCGATGAACTGGGATTTTATGAGGCAATCACACTTTATAGGTAGTTTCCAATTTGTTCTAATCACAATTGACTGACTGTCTGAGACAGACAAGTGAGGGAACAAACATACACAGTGAGAGACAGATTAAGTAGATACACAGAAACAGAGGGAATCAAGTATTTATGTCAGAAGTCAATAGGTACCCTCAAGCACCTAAATTTTACTCAACACTTTCCATTTGTTTTCCAAAGCATGCCTGAAAAACAATCAGAAAACATGGATATTCCATTTTATGTTTTATTGCAAAGTTCTTTATTGCAGGATTAGAGCACCTGTCCAGCATTGCTGGGCTGCTTCGTAAAATGCTGTGAAACCCATTCTGTGTCTGTTTCTTTATATAAAACTATCCGCTGACCAAGTTTGTTTCCCTCCCACTTCTTCTAAAGGGTAAAACAAAGGTAAAGAAGAAAAACCAAAAATCATATAGAAGTGATCTTAAAATTAACTTGACTGCTTGAATGACAGAGTGGCATTTAAGCATAGTATGAAAAGATCCAATTGATTCACACAGCTAGAAAAGAAAGGGTGAAATTGGAGACCCTGAAGTCAATCAAAGTCTTCCATCAAACTTGGAAAGGTTTTGCCCATACATACCACCCTACTGACAAGCTCCATTTCTGGCCATGGAGATGACATTCTGAAATTCCTACTGGGATTTATCTGAGCTGCAGACAGAGCTACCTTTGCTGTCTGGCAGTACAGTGACACGAACACAAATGATGGTCTCAAAAATGCTATAAATCACAGGTAAAATTATATAAACTCATCACAGCAATCACAGCAAACTTCTCACAGTCGGGATGAAGAGAGACCGCAGAAATTACCTAGTCTTTAAGAGATGCTACAATGTCAGCAACACAGTTAGTGGGAATATTGGCTAATGGGTATATTCTGCATATATCATTTCAGGAGATGAAAAATGAGCAAAACTCTGCCTCCAGTCAATGGAAATGCAGACTCCTGCTATGCTTCGTAGTGGAAAGAAACAGAAACCCTAGTGGTAAAATTCCCATGTGTGGAAGACACAGCACAACAGTTCACAGAGAACTTTCACCTATGGTATGACAGCAAAGACCTTCCCTCATTTGTATACTTTAAAGGCCAACAGCAAGACAACAGAGCATAACTTGCTGTGGGATGGAAAGCAGCCACCTAGACCACCGCCTTTAATATACAGGTCATTCAGCTAGTGCTTAAAACATAATGAAACTGCTGCAACATGCTGCAGTTCCAGATTCTGAGGCGTTTTGCCAAATGCTGAATTTCCTCAAAATAAATTGATTAACAGCTTTGGTATCATTTGAAACTGTTTCCCAAACTGATCACCAACAGCTATCCATTCTCTTTTCCATTGGGTCTAAAACCAGATTTTATTGCTTTCAAAGAGGTTCCAATTTGAAAGAGATATCATTAAACCTAGAAAATACCCATCTTTTGACTGCTGGATGAGAGGAGCATTTGTAAAACAACCTGTATCAATACATCCTGCACAATGCTCAGCAGCTTCATCTTTCACAGTGTATAAGCCCTGTGCCTTCTACATCATCAGAAGCAAGGGGCAGGAGTCCTGTCTTCAAGCCAGGTGTTACGACAACTGTTTTCTTTTTAGCTTTAAATAGATATTGCAGGAGCAGAAGTAGATGAAATGGAATATTAGACCCTAATAATCAACATAAATTTATTACACTGTTAGTGCAAGCCAGTGTAAAGGTCAATAATGTTTCTATTTGGAATCTTACTACTACAGAAACAAATATCTCAGTAATACGCCCTCTTTTTTTCCCAAAAAAGAAAACTAATTCCTCATTATTTCAAGATATTCTTATTTTAATTGTAATCTTACCTTACCCATATAAAGCTTTCAGTAACCGCATCTTCTCCTTCAATATTTTTCTGTCCCACTTACATTTAAAACCTTGCTAATCTCCCATCTTATTACTTACATGTACAGCTCAGGCCAAAATAACCTCCACTACCGTAAAAGTAGTTAAACTATTTAAAACTTTAAAATATTTAAATTATTTTTTATTTCAGATTTTGTTTCCATTTTTTATTTATATCTATCTTTGCAGAGCAAGGAAACTGATCCGCAAACATTGTTAGCTAACAGGTGCTCGGACAAAAAACCTGATTTATTTGCTAACCCACAGAGGGACTGGAGAGAACTAATTGCTTTTCAGCAACAGCTAGCTATCTAGTACGTAACCCACAAAGCAGACTAGTCAGGTGAGCTCATAAGATGCCTTTTATTTCTTGACCACCTGCTCTCCAACATCTACATGGGGTCACAACTGTAACATAGTGGGAGAAGGGCAAAATGAAGCACCACCAGCAAAAACGCAATTGCTGTTATCCTGATGGTGCAAACAATAAGGAATGTTAGTACTTCAGAAAGGGTTAGAGAAGGTTAACAATACCAAATCTGTAACCAGGGTAAAAAAGTACCACTATTTTTAAAAAAAATTAAAATAATCACAAGGAAGTTCATACACTAAGGTCAACAACACAGTACAATCTTTTGAATATTTTATAAATTTAAAAATTAAATATTAATTACCAACCTTAATGCTAAAGTGTAGGTTCCAGGTTGCCGTTGGCTTTCACGAATGAGATAGCTTCCCTCTGCAACGCTTAATAATTGGTCAGCTTCCTCTCTTGAGATCATCCCATGGAATCTAAGGAACAAAGGCTTTTTGAAACACATGCCTTTTCACTTTTAAATCACCTTTTCCTCTTCTTTTAAAAACCATCAACCACAGTAATTAAAAAAGAAACAAACATCAAAGTGACTGATTTGCTGGAATCTACAGCTTAAATTAATCTCCCTTTCTACCTGCATTTGAAGTCACTTTAAATGGTTTAGAAAGGCTTCTATGAAACAATATCTATCAAACAAGTCTATTGCATTTCAAATTTGCATCTACTACTTTAATATGTAGAAATAATTCCATTTTCTCCTTCTGGCTTCACATATTCTGTGCCAGTGGCACGCAATCTAAAATTTTGCAGCATTCAGGGATATTATGGCAACTTGCTAAAATCTTGGGGATTGCATATAATCTCAGTAATTACTGATGTAATAACCTAGCAACACTTTTTTGGGTTTTTTTGCCTTAGCAATCTGAAATAAAAGACACATATATATTGTACACTTATATTACATATATATTGTATGCTTATATTGCATTTGTGATCCAAATCTTTTTTTTCCTGCACACAAACACCTTGTGCAAAAGCCAAGTGGAGGTAGAGGTAGACAAAGATAACCCTTTGAAAGTACAGAAACACGTTTTTCTCACTTGAGTTAGCACTCAATCATATCCATATCCATCAGAAAACAGAGCTGCAATTGCAGGCAGGCAAAAGTGATGGTACTGAAAAAAACTGATGGTGAGCAAGACACACTGCTGTAAAGCACACAGAAGAAACAAAGGGCCCAGAACAAACACCTGCAACCTTTTCTGTAACAATTATCAACCAACATGTACAGATAAACCACTTTCAGAGATGTGTGTTACTTACTCTCTTCCATAGTATTTCGGTCTGTTCTCTACCTAGAAGAAACAACAGAAATTGTAACGTTTCATAACAACTGAACCCACACTGTAAGCATACTGTCCATAACATAGCATTAAAAATAGAAAGGGATACAAAGTGAAAGTACAGACAAAAACCATCTACTATCCCAGCATTTTCCCTGTGGGTGGAACATAAGAGAAACCAAAGGTAAACCCTTCAGGAAACACTGCACTTCTGAATGGCTTAAAACAGAGTGAGACAGAATGAGCTGCTTGAATCACATTATCCTCGAGGCTCTGCTAATACAAACTGACAACATTAAGTATTGCTTGTACAAACTGCCAAAAAGGGGAAACAAAAGATTTATTTCATGGGTGTAAGTGTACTATATTGTTAAGTGCACTAATACAGTGAAATATCTATAAAACTCTTAAATTTAGAAGTTGTCCTCCATCATAGAGCTGTTGATGCCACCGCTGTGAGAAATTGAGCCACTACCATATTCCCTCAGAGTGAGGCTAAGTGGTAGATTAAATGATCAAGTGTCTAAGTCTTGCACTTCTTGACTTCAGTAAACTGTGCGATCTGTAGTATCGGCTAAAAGACCGCAACAACAGGTATGCATGTATTATGCTGTGTAACACCAGCCCGTCCATGCTCTAGAGACCATACAGTGTAAATGTACACAACATGCAAAGGTGTCAGAATGCAAATTGCCTGCTAAGTATTTCAGATTAAATAACTCATTTGCAATTGTCCAGGAAGTTTAGAGACATGTGAGGAACTGCAGACCTCCCAGAAATCAGCTCAATAATCTAAATTTAAAGGAGGAAAGTCTTTGGGGAGTAAAATTCAACAATTACACAACCTGTACTACAAGAGTATAAACCACTCCAGCTTAAACAAAACACAAAATACTCAGAGTAAACTGCCATTTCCGTCTTTTCAGAAAAAAGCCTACTAAAATTAGCATTTCTTTCCAGTTACCTCAGTGGAGTATAAATAAATATTTCAGATGTCCAAAACAACAACAACAAAAATACATCCTGGTGTACACTCTAATAAGAACTCTTCCACATTCCCAGCAAATAAAAAGCTGTTGTGATGGTTCTTCACTTTTGAAAAATCATTCCATCACTAGAACAATTTATAATGTTCTAAAATATTTCTTTTTCCTACATAACAGTAAACAAGAGTTGACTAGTGTGATAACTGTTTTCAAAGGGCCTGAAGACACTGGATCATTTAAAAAAAGAAAAAGTCTTACATATTATTTGTTAAATGTAGGCTATTTCTTCAATAGGAAGACAGAAACATGACTGGAGAAAAAGCAAAAACATTTTATTGTTGTTATTACAGAAACTTGCAACAATTCTTAACTAAAACCCTCAAGACAAGACACTAGTCTCAGGCAGTTGTCAAAAAAACAATCCCATTGTGAATACGATTTTATGATCTGTCTATTGAGATTTTATATTTATCTCAGTGGCCACGGTGAATCTACATGACAGAACTGGAAAATTTATATGGGCAAAAGCACCCAATTTCAGAAATGGATTAGTAACGTGACAGGGCATCTTCACATGTACTTGCAAATCCTAAGACAAATTGTAATATTATATTCTGTGCACATTTGAAAATGTGAACTGGCAGATGACTGGAGCAAAGCATCAGAGAAAAGCTGTGCTGGACTTCCAGCCAATTGCAGCTGGGTTTGCAGCTCATGTTGGTGGATGATGAGTTAAAAAGGAAAATAACCACTTCTGTTAACACTGAGGCTGTACTGATCAGTTTTACCAACTCACAAAAACTTCAGTATAAATGTTGATGTGTGACACTGTTTGCTTGTATAAGACTCCATGTGACTGGAAACCAAATTCACTGATTTTTGCTGCCTGGGCTTTGGTGTTTCGATTTGTTGAGGGTTTTTTTAATAACTTTTAAAATGTATGGTAATACTAGGGTTTTTTGACATCTAGACTGAATGCATACATTCAGACTCTAAGGCAATTCCATTAGAACTCAGCAGGGGCCTTATAATTCACTCAGAATTAGCTGGGCTACATACACACTCAGTGCAGTCCATGTGAACTTACTAAAACACACAGATTTCCCAGGAGCCAATTTTACCATTTAAGACAGTAAACACTGTTCTCCAGCTTTCTACAATGCAACCTACACCAACTTTACTGATAGCAACTTTGGCATAAAAGGCAAAATAGCATTTGTTCTTACTTTAGGTATCCTTAGCTGCACCAGAACTAGAAGTGACATACAGCTTTCTTGGTCTTTTGTGTCTGCCTGGACTTCATGAAGTTCCTGCCAGACTGTATTTCTACAAATTACATTCGCAGGCACCCACATATCCTCCAGCTGCACGTGTGCACTGAAAGTCAAAATGGTCCAGTTCAGAAGCTTCATTAGCCTAACCTTCACACTCAGTCAGCCTTAAGTTAAGGAGACAAAACCAAACACTCATCCGGACTAGAACTAAAACCCAACTAAAAGAGTGGGGTTTTAAATAAAATCAAAGCAATAGCAGGAAAACGGTCATTTCAACTAAAGCTGCTAGCTGAAAATACAGTGTAATTATCCTCTGCAGACTTTCTTTCCGATTTGGCAGTATTTTTGGAGCAAAGTATTGTCGAGCATGAGTAAAGGCAGCCTTAGCTACTTCATTTTTTCTGTATCCAGCAAAGACCAGCTGAATGCTAAGTCTTCTGACTTCTCAGGACTTTTTATTTATAGGAAAATTTTCCTATTGCTCTTTGTTTAGCCTATATTTGGCAGAGTTTTAAAAATTGCTTCTAACTTAGAAAAAAAAAAAAAAGAAAAAAATTAACTGCGAGATACTTGGTTTCAGTGTGGTTATTTGTATAGCACTGATGCAGAGGCCACAGGAAAGATTCAGGTCTCACTATGATACCTGCAAGAAACACAAAGGTCAGTGAGATAACCACCATTGTTTCATTTCTGTTTTTTTCAGACTGAGGTGTGAAGTCAATGAAACCAAGTTCACGAACAGATAAATGGAGCAGACTTGGCAACAGCTCTAACAAGGATGTGCATTACATATGCCCAGTCTATGCTGTGTTTCTTGACAACTCATAGAGGCCGTTTTCACATGACTACATAGAGATGCTGTTTAACAGGCTTGTTAACTACTAGCACTGAATTAGGATGAAGCCTTGTAATAGGACAGAAAAGGACAGTGATTTTAATTATCTCCATCATTTGTCTGTTTGGTATTTTTTCACACACAGTTATCTAAAATGTATCATGGAGTGCCTTCACATAGCAGTCCCTAAAATGTCTGCATGTGCACGTGCACACATGTGTATGCAAAACATTATATGCACAACAAATACGAATTCCATGGAGGAAATACAATATTAATTGGACAAACAACATTACAATTTGGACATAAGCCTCATGCAGAAGTCAAACATCCTTAGATTGTTATGGAATCATCAACTTTACAAATGAACATCATACAGTGTTAAAAGCCTTGGCTCTGCTGCACCTTCAAAATAAAAAAAATCCCAAATGAATGCAATGCTCTTTTTACCTCAGTGTAGCTCCACTGAGCTGTGTGTTGCTCTGATACGAAACTCGTGTAACAGAGCAGAAACTTGAACTCCCTGTATTTGAGAAGCATTTCATGTTAAGTAGGTCATTCTGTTGAATACACCTCTCAGTATTAGCACTTGTACAACACGTGCCTTTGCACCTTAAATAATAGGTTGGGTTTTTTTACAGTGTGATTTCCAATTATTCTTTAATACGTGCTTTTTCTCCTAATCATCGCTCTTGCTTATGCCAACAAGTGGAATACAATAAGGCAAGAGGACCAATTTACATGCTAATACCTTATCAAATAACAATGTTGTTCCCTCCCACTGACCTCTTTGATGTTCTCTGGACCAAAATTCTCTTCCTGTATTTATGAATTTGTTTACACAGCTGAATAATTCAGCCACTTAGGAAAAGATTCTGTTCCCCACTGACTCACACATGGCTGCTAATAGAAACCCAGCTGAGAAAGAGCAGATCACAAAGCTCCACACTAGCAGGAGAGGCTGAGACCAGAGAGAAAGGCTAAAGATGTTACTGCTTGCTCAATATATTTTCACTTCAAATCTGGCTCAGCTGCATAAATTGTTCAATATTAATAAAGAAATTGTTATCTGCATTATAACAAATTAATGCGTAAGTAGGAAAATGCACACTGATAATGTATTATTTCAATTTTACATTTATTAGGTTAAAAAAAGCTTGAGAGCTTTTTTTTAATAAATGGATTATTTAATGAGAAAATGTGTATTTAATATGCTCTGTTCTGCAGCTAAATACCTGCAAGTGAGTGATTCTTTCATAGCTCTATTTTATTTAGTTCAATTCTCACTAGTTTCTAAAATCTGCAGGTTTTATATTTCAGTTTCTACAACAACGTTCATGATGCAGACACAGGTTTAGTCTGCAGAGTTCAAGAAGCTATTTTAAAACACAGAATGTCTTCTCTTTCTGTTCACTCTGGCACACGGGAAGTTTTACACTTACTTAAAGTTTATCATATGTTATATTCTTGTTTTGGAATAAATTCGAAGAAACATGTCATTATAGACATTATAGTAATGTGCTGCATTTCTTTCTTCAGTGATGACAGGACTTAGCAGAGTGTTTTGATTACTTGTGGTACTTTCACAGGTCCCCAATTGACTCTAACAGACTACCTGTTTACAGCATTAGAGCAGGAGGACCTCTCTATGTAGGGATGCAGTATGCTCAGACACCCCTCAAAGAGCTTGGAGGATTAGTTCATGCAGGAAGCCACTCACGCACAGCAAATTTTCCTCTCTAAAACAGTCCAACTTTTCAATTTGCCACCTGTATAATAGCTAATAAAATTTTATAATTAACAGTATTAAAATTCAATGCTAATGAGGATGAGAAAATTATAGTGGTCAGTGTGATCTATATTTGAAGAAGCTTTACACAGACACTTTTATATTTGGCTTGGCAATTTTGTTTGATTCCAAATTAAAGGCAAGCTGGATGTGACCAATAGCTGAAGGATTTCCAGCACTCCAGAGGCAGGAGACATTTTTAATTTTCAGACACTGAATACACATTTATATCTCTGCTTATTTGACTGGATAGGCTAATAGTATTCTAAGAAATACTATGAAGGAGAACTTAGTATAAAATTTGCTCGTGACTTCTTATCACCTAGGGAAAAAGACCCCAAAGCACTTGGATGGGGCACTCTGGGACATGGTTTAGTGGGCATGGCGGTGTTAGGCTGATGGTTGGACTTGCTCTTAGAGGTCTTTTCCAACCTTATTGATTCTATGATTCACTTCTCTGCAGTCAATCTAGCATAGAATATAATGCCAACAGATCTTATTGAATATGTCGGACCCCTTTTTATCATTTACAGTTTCTCCCTGACTACAGGGTACATATGCATTGTGCAATTGACATGCAAAGCAATTACTATTGTTATGCTATCTGCGGTAAGATTTCCTTAACTGTGCTGGTACTTTCCCACTCCTTACATTTCTATTATGTTTTGTTTGTTTGTTTGTTTTTTAAAGAAACCAAAAGGTATAAAGAAACGACATTTCTAATTCTGTAAGAATTAAAACATTCTGAACTGAGGTTCTCAAAGAAGAATTGTCACTCATCACCACAAGAGCCAGGCAACCTTATGAGCATATAGGATAAAGTCTGTCACTACAAGAGCAAACAATAGCAGGGCTCTGAAATAAGACAGCAAATAAAAGACTACCGTGATTGTACAGGCATAATGTCAGCATCTTGATGAACAGCGTCAGTAGGCTACCAAAAATGCTTCATACATTTTACAACATGCATATATTCATATACCTACGCACATACTCGCACTTACTTCTTCCACCAGTGAAATACTTTTGAGGAGAGGAAGGAAAAAGCAACTATTCAACAGCACTTAACAACAATAAACACAATCCATTGAAGGCAGGGAGTAAAATACTTCATCCTATCCAGGTGAGCACCCTTTACAATCTCTGTACAATCAAACCTGTAATACAAGACTAAGCTGCTACAAGACTTCAAATACTTTGTATATTAATGTAATGAAAAACCCTGTTATAGAGAATACACAAAATAGAAGAAACTTTCCTAATAACGTTGCAATGGGAATAAAAAACTGGAAAACCTCCCATTTTTTTCACAGCTCAGGACTTATCTTCTATAGAGCCGTCCTTCAAATCTCCATCCCACCTTATTTGATGTACATAAGATACCTGCACAACAACCTTAACAAGAATACCCCTACTTGGAGAGAGTTAAGAGTAGAAATAATGGTTAAACAAAACTCTTTGCTACAATGCTTCTTGTAAAATTCATCTGTTGTTCCTTTTCTATAGCTATGTCTTTCTTAAGTGCAATCAGCTATAGCTGTATTTTTTACAAAAATACAAATCTATCATATTAACAAAGGAAAACAAGAGTGCTTCCACTAACTGCAGTATTTCACTTCTGTTAAATCTCTAAATTTTATCTTAAAAATTGACAGGCTACTTCATAGAACCACAACTGGGCATTTGAAAAGAAGACAGAGAAATGCCTGTTTAATTCTGTAAAGTAATCCTCCTCATGATCTAGACTGTAAGCTATTAATGTCCCTGATAGTGCAATGTCCCTCTGTACTTCATACTGCCTCAAAGTGACGAACATACTTCAAAGATTAATTTCCTTTCTCTTGGCACATGATAAAAATGCTTAAGTTTCATTGCAGCAATGTAATAACTTTCAGTGGCTATTCAGTAAGAGCTGTGTTTTGTAACACTGCTTAACAAGTCAAGCCTAACATTTCCGCATTTCTGAAATTGAAATTAATGTTTTCCAAGTTCCTAACTGAAGCTGCAAAAGAGATGCAGTTATGAGTAAAATCTTGCTGGCACGGATGTTTGGTATCAGTTAAACCCTCCAGCACCACAGCTTTGGAGAGTTGCTGCTCTGCTAGATGGCAGCTCAGGACACACTAGCAATTTGGGGTCTGCCTCAAGAACTGACCCCTTGAGCAGGTCCTTCTGCACCACTGTATATCAATGGGATCCTGTTATTACTCTTTGGACTCATAAAATCTGTGGCTCTGATAGATTAGCTACTAGTATTAGCGAGTCTTAAGTACTACGACTCAAGTAACAGCACCAGGGGAGATTTCAGTCTTCGCTCTGCTGCTGTATTGCACACAACTAGCAGCAATGTGTGTACAAACAGGTGCCCAGTTCCCCCGCAAAGCTCTGCTCTTACTTCTGTGAATTTCTGACACAAAAAGGAGAAGAAAAGGCACGTTTCCATGTATCTAAGAATCAAAATACAGTAACCAGATTCTCAGGTATACCCATCATACTCAAAATGCTTTTTAATTAAATTTTTAGATCAAATTATTTCCAGGTACCAGCGCCCGCAAGGCTACTTACTCTAATCACAGCACCAAGAGTCCCAAGGAATCACTGTTTGGGTTGGATTCCATTAAGTATAGACTTGGAATTACTGGACTCTATAAAATCAAATCTTTGTAATACTCACCTCACGAGTGCAGGTTATCCTTCTAGGATGGGGAGCTTCCTGTTGCAGTTGATACACTGGGAAGAGGAGGAAGATAAATTCTGGTTAATACAGAATCATTGTATAAGTTAGGCATTTTAACACTAAATATTGCTGTTTAAATAAAGAAGTCTTTCTGCGAGATTTCCTGCAAGGATATATATATCAAGATCTCAAAACTTATTTATAAGTGGTCAGAAAAAAGAATGTTGCTAGCCAAAATGGGGTTATTGATTATCTTTACAATTAATTGATCAAGTACTATGGAGTAACTAAGTGAGACCAGTTAAGTTTCCATGAAGCAGATCAGAAAAGGAGTCATGATAAATGCAAAATAAATTATTTATTTAGTTATTATTTTATTTTATTTATGTCAAATCAGGCTGCTGCCAGACTTTCTTCTATAAGCAGATAGAGTCACATCCTGCTATGCTGTGCACATACTCAGTCACCTGAAATATGTCAAGACTTTGGAAGAATAATTCAGAACTCTACAGAATCAAACTCTCTGCTTTTGCCACTGCTCAGTGATCACCCTTCTGAACAAAAAAAAAAAATGGCCTTTGCATTTGCAGATCTAAAGACATTAGGAATTGAGTAGCAGAGTAAACCAGTTAAGGCCCAAATTATGACATACTAGTCTTCCCTCCCCCTTTTTTTCTTATTTCCTTTTTTTTTTTTTTTTTTTTTAAAATAAGCCTTATCAAGCCAGAATAAATCTTAGGAGCCAGTCGTAAATTTAATGGTACTAATAAGCAGACTTTCTCATCTAATACCAAAGGAGTGACTTTCAACTTCTATCCCAAAAAGAGTTTGGTTTGGCAAGTCACCTTCAAAATGAGGCTGTCAACACTAAGTTAGCATTCGAATAGTACTCTACAACAGACAAAATGGACATTTGGAATTGTAATCTTTTAAAGTTAAATTATGTTTCTATCGTTAGTGCTAACACCAAGGTCTAATAACATGTGCTGTCACCTTCATCAGGTAATAAGACCATACATTGATTCAACCATGACATACATTCAATCAACCGTTGACTTCATGACACTTCTCAGTTGATCATGACTTTTTTCCACTTACAAATGCTGTATTTATGTGCTAAGTTACATAGGAATGAAGAAAATGGCAAGATGCCCAATGATATGGCAATCATAAGAGAAACTGGAAAAATTCACTCCCTTTGTTCCAAACAACAAACCTAATGGTTTTTCCTGACATTACTAAAATCAATCCTTAACATTCTGCATTGGTAATATAAAAATGATTTTTGCAAGTGATGAAGAACAGCACACTAGTATAAAACCCAGCAATTTTCATTTCAAACATAGCATGACCATTTATTTTGGCACATACAGATTCACAGAATCACAGAATGTTAGGGGTTGGAAGGGACCTCAAAAGATCATCTAGTCCAACCCTGCTGCCAGAGCAGGACCACCTAGAGTAGATCACACAGGAACGCGTCCAGGTGGGTTTTGAATGTCTCCAGAGAAGGAGACTCCACAAACTCTCTGGGCAGCCTGTTCCAGTGCTCTGTCACCCTCAGAGTAAAGAAGTTTTTCCTCATGTTAAAGTGGAACCTCCTATGCTCCAGCTTGCACCAGTTGCCCCTTGTCCTGTCATTGGACATCACTGAGAAGAGCCCAGCTCCATCTTCCTGACACTCGCCCTTTACATATTCATAATTCCCTAGCTTCTGTTGTAAAAGTTGTATTTGATGGCATTTGGCCTTGTCCGTATCTAATTCTGAGAACCATAGAGTCAAGTTCAAAGGGAAAAAAAATTATAAAAAAATCACAGAGCAAATATGGATTTCTCTGAATTTCATGGAAGAGCAGTGGAGACTCACAATCAGCATGCTTCACAGAAACTGGCTAAAAACTGAGAACTGTTTCCCACCTTACTTCAACCCAGGCTGAAAAGATTTTCTGGAGGAAATTCTTCTTCTCCAAAGGCAGTACCTTTCTCCTCTTCCAGTCAGAGGCACAGCAGGTAGACTAGTTAAGTTACAAAACAGGATCCCTATTCCTCCTCCTCTAACTGATGTATGCCATTCAAACTGTTCAACACCAGTTTCCTTGCTGTAATTACTGCCAGGGAAGTCAAACAAGACATTCCTCTCCATCCATCATAAGACAGAAATATAATCAAACCCCATGACCCTGCACTTAGCTCTGAACCGTGGCAAGGGTTCGCCACGGTGAACCATGACGGTGTAGGAGAGTGGGTGCATATGCATTTGCACATGCTAAAGCCTCCATCTCCTGGCAAGATGCCAACAAAGATTTGGTATCAGAGAGGTTGGACCCCCCATTACAGATTATGGCATGGAATAAACCAAACAAAGAGGCAGTGTTCCGAGTTCACAGAAGGTACAGAGCTGTGATTCACTATTACTGCTTGCAACCAGGAGCAAAATACACAGATCTCAGTAACAAGTACAAAAACGTGTTGGAATCATGACTAATGATGTTTAATATCCAGGAGCAAAGTGTTTCAGTTTTATCTTTTAGCCCTCCACTGCAAGGAAAAAGCTTGTTCAAATCATTCTGTGCACAAATTCTTTAATATTAAGTGGCTGACTTGGCATATGACAAGATACTGGTATAGTAAATGATGATTCAAACGGCACAGACAGGCTTTGCCACCATATTCGCAAACAGACCAAGGTCCCAGCCATCTCAATTACATAACAGCAATTGCATTAAATGGCAATTATTAAAAACCGTTCAAAGACATCCACCTAAAGAAAACACTCAAGATGGACAAATTAAAAGTCTTCAGCCTTTTTTAGACGTTGCCTTTCTATTTTCTTCAATTAACATAAATGTATTTTAAGAGACTCTGACATTCCCAGACTGTTAAGGAGTACACAGTTTTGCCAAGTCCTGTAATTCTTACTACAAATTTCACAATATCTGACTACTTACTTACAGCCTAAGGTCTTTGAAATTTCTTATGAGACATAATGTCATTTATAGAAGTCATCTAATGCTCATATTGCATAGAAGATCTTGACTATGTAACTCGTGATCACTTTAACAATTCAAAAATTGGAAACCAAACAAAACCAAGAAGGCTGATTTATGAGTTTTAAGGCCTAACTGTGATTTTTTGAATACATCAGGTTGGCAATGGCAGGGACAGAACAGAAACAATTGACCTCAGTGAGACATAATAAAAGGCTGGTCTAGATGACAGAAAAGTTGTTTTTTCTAATGACCATTTAATTCTACTACATATATTTTAGTTGACAAAAATACTTGAATATGCTCTCTTACACTTACTCTCTTTCTAACCATGGTTTTCACCAAGCCTTTAAGACCAACCCAAAATCAACGACTGAAAAGAATCTCACACTGCCGGATGGAAACCTTTTTGAAATAAGTACATTTTCTCAGGTGTTAAATCTTCCCAGCCTTTAGATCAACATTTTCATCATGTGAAATGTTGCTTGTGCAAATCCCTTTAGCCAGCCTGAAGACACCGAGCTTGGGAATACATACAAAAGAAAATGCAAATACAGGTCTGATGACCCTGAACTGTTAAGTATGTTAAACGCACAAACATTCTGCTTTCAAAATCTGCTTTTAACAGAAGACTCTTCTTTCTTTCTGTGGTTCCTCAAGTCTCAAAATGTCTCACACCTTAGCTTTTCTATCTACAAAGAACTACAATATAGAGGTGAGACACTGTGGGAAGGTACAATGCTTTGCTGTGGTGACATGTCTTGTGTTCTCTCCAATCTTCCTGAGCGTCAATCAGTGCTGCCAAACAACAGGTCATTCCTTTACATGGATTTTTTTTGTATTTAGAAATATAGGGGGGTTTGTCTGTTTGTTCAGTGGGCTTTTTTTGTGTTTGGGGGATTTTGGTTGGTTGGTTTGTTTGTTTTTTAAATTAGGAATGAAAACCAGCAAGTTGTGAAATACCCAAGGGAGCAGTGCTCTGATCTCAGAGCAACGCACCCAGACTACTGCCCTGCACACCTGACTAAGGCAGCCTGCAAGGCCAGCTGCCTCTGCGCTAGGGCACGTACACCAAAGAGCTGCAGAGCCCAGCCAGGCAGGCTGCTAGGAAACCAGGTCCTGCTAGTCAGGGCTTCAAAAAACCTGCCTGTGATTTGTCACACCAGGCCAAATGCTCTAATTTTACTACATCAGCAAATTCTGGGGGAAAACGATCTAGCTTGAGTTTTTCTAACCAGCTCAAGTCTCAGCGCTAGTGATATAAGGTACTAGAGCACAGGAGCCCTAAAAGTCTGCAAGGATACCAACTTTAAGGCATGAACGGAATTTATGTAAGCCCTGGTCTATGCAGCCAAATCAATATAAGCCAGACCCGCACAGGAGCGGGACCACTTGTGTTAGTAAGGTGCAGAGAATCTACTCCTTCAAATAACCTGCATTCACTCATCCTTGAGGATAAACAACTGTGCCTATCTCTAAATAGTAATGAATGCCTTGAGGCTTCTTAAACTCACATTCTGATGAAAAGAAAAATTAGTCTTTTAAAGCACCCAACTGAAACTTTTTCAGCTCTGATTTGGGCGGTGGGGGGAAGAAAAAAAAAAAAATCCATGGAGATACTTACAGTAAGATTTCCAAACAGGTGGTCTGTATTCATCAGTATCTGAAAGAAAAATGACAAATCTTAATGTTGTGTTGGAAACACAGATATAACCCTGCAGAAGTACTTGCAGATTTATTAAGATAAATATTGCACCTAGGTTCTGAAATTATTTTTTCACTATCAGAGTACAGAACAACCTGTTAAAAGTTCCCCCTCTTTACTTAAACTGAAAATATGAAAAGGTATTTTCTTTAGCCAGCTAGAATACAAACTAGAGAAATAAATTTGCAAAATGGCAAACGTGCAGATCAGAAGCTAAAATACCGTGGGGGGGAATGCATATAATTTTACTATGTATATATCCATAAGTTCCCTTTTAAATTACACTAGAAAGACTTTTTAAATCTCATTTTACATTCCAATAAATCAGGTTTCATTCAAATTATTCCTGCCATTAGCTTCTTCCTGTTCTGGATAGCAATTAACAACTCCTAAAGTAAAATCAGAGTATGTAAGTACTATGAAATATTTTGCAAAAAAGGAGGGTTCTTTTCATACAGAGTACAAGCTCCGCTTGGAAGCAGTCAGTATATATCAAAAGTACAACACATTTCTAATCCAAAATTTTAATACACAAATAAATTTTAAAATAAAATAACAACAAAAAAATCCCAGTGTTTTCTAAATTCTGCCACCCTTATGACTTGTTGACAACTGAGCTGACATTTTGAGCTTAGAGCTCTGTTGCAAACTTTGTGCTCATCCACTGTTTTACCACTCTGACCAGCTTCAGTTCTGATGCTACAAGGTACCAAGAATTTCTGCAGGGCTGTGCTTATCTCTGGTGGGAGTCACTCAGTACTCATCACACCACAGGGTCACCAGTTGAGACAACTACGCAGCCAGCCCTGCTGTTGGAAGCCTCTTCTCACTGTGACATTCATTTCTGAGCTCTGTTTGCAATTGTCTGCTCACTGGGACTACCTGCTGCATCCAACAAAACCTTAATTTCCAGGTTTTATTATGAGGCCACATAAAAATCAAGCAATCTGGGAACCTGTTGCTTGAATTTTGGCCTGAGTGGCATCTCCACCCAAGAGTCTTTAAGGCCTCCAAAACTGAGCCTGAAGCTTGGAAAGTATTTTGCTTTCCCTTCCCTTAGGGTAAGCAATCTGCCTTCTTCAGATACTTGCTATAGTCCATCTCTCCCACCTACAGTCATGTCAAAATTAGAGCTTAGTGGAATGAGATATTTTTCAGTTTAATCAGCACAGACTTGCCCAGACCCTCCCCAGACTCACCCAGCACGCTCTCTGCCTCGCCTGAGCTATCATTTCGCTCCATTTTTTACCTCGTATTTTAGCACTACACAGGAAGAGGGTGCAGTCCTTATGGACTACCTCAGTGGCAGTGGGTTTTATAAATACAATTCCTTATGACTTTATTATTAAGGCGGCACTTGGTCAAACCACCATCCCCCAGATCAGTTTTGATCTTTGAAAGGTCCTGCAGATGCGCTACCACGTCCTGGGGATAGGCCAGAACACCTCGAGTCTGCACAGAGACCTTCAGTCGTCCACACTACACTACGGCAGTGAAAGAAAATCAGCAGCAACAGATGCAGCCATGGTTATTCATTCCTACTTTGATACCTTTAAGTAAGGCAGTGCAAGTCAATTCATTCCAGAAGCATTGTAACCTTAGCACTGCAAGGTCACACGGAAAAAGGGCAAAACTTGTAAGTAAAAAGAACAGGTTTAGTCCCAAAAGACAACTCTTACCCCAGCTGAACTTTCTTTTGCTAAAGTATTTTTTTTGGCAATATATGCACTCATTGAATTTACAAATAAAAAATTTAAGTAAAGGACAACACACACTGTATTTGTAAAATATGAGCTGACTGTTATGAAAATACAAATATTTTGGCAGTCTAACCTATATTTGCTCGCACTCAAGCCATGTAATTGTTACAACTAAGAGCAGCACGATTATAAAACTGAAAAGCAACAATATTTGTGCCAAACAAAAAAAACCCAAACAAACCTTGTTAAAATCAGGCAAGAACAGCAGTAACTTTCATACGACAAACATTTAACATTCAGAAATCGGAAGGAATGATTTATGTTATGCAGCTGTGCACAAGGATTTTGTTAGAAAATCTGTTGGTGAGCTTTACAGCCTTTACAGTGTGAGAATACCCGCCGGCCATCCCACATCAGGTAACAAAAAAACAAAAGGTCATTTCTATTGCGATTTTTTTTAAAAAATAAATACTATCTGATATAAAATACTGTAGCAGCAAGTACAGAGCAGTAACAATGGTGAAGCAGAGGTTCTGCAGTGTTTGTTTCCATGCAAGAACATTTCTGTTGCTAAAACCACTCCACCACACAAAGATAAACTAGAATAAGCATAAACATCAGACCAGTCTGTTAGTTATCCATTTTTAAAGACTAATTGATGTGGTCCTATTTAACACATCATCAGTATTTTGAAATGCATTATTAGGAAAAGGGCTTGATTTTCAGACAGTGCAGGCTTCCACATACAGCATCTCCAATTACGCATAGCAAGTACCCAAAAAGCACTTTAAGGCATGACAAAAAACCCCACAGAAAGAAAATGCTGAACCCAAAATACATTTTCTCACTATCACTGCACCACTTTCTAATTAATGCAATAAACTCTACATTGTCAGTTCTCAGATTTTCTACAGCTCCAGTCGGCACAGTATCTCAGCTCTGCTAAATGTTTCCACGATAAATTAAAATAATTTTCTACAAGCTGTGCATCATGTTTTATCTTAACTGTGTTTTCTGCCTTAAGTGAGATGCAATTCAGCTTAAAGCTGCTCTTCTGCAAAGGTCTGGAGCACTACAGAAAACATACATGCATAAACTGATCCTACCGGCATTGGTGAGCCTTTCGCCAGCGTGAGGGTACTTTCACCAGCAAGTACATTTTAGATCAGGCACACTGTCCACGTACATAACTTGCAATTTCAAACTCAGCCCAGTTTCAAACTGACAGATGCTGGTGCTGAATGGTCTTCCTAACCTTTAAAAGTGAAAATGTTTGATAATATACAGCTATCCCAAAATTTTTAATTCTTCAGAATTTTGCTCTGATTAGAAGGGTGTATGGGTAAGATTTTATTTTTATATAACAGGACTTCTTCAAATTCTCTCCCATGAACCATACTGACATCTAATGATTTTCCAGCCTGGAACAGATTAGAAAAGAAACGGCTGTATGCTCAAACCTACACTTTGAAGCTCCTAAATTGACCTGTCATAGTATAAATACGTATGTATGTGTAAAGAATAGACTATCTTAAAGTGATACATCACTTGAAATCCCACTGAGACCCAGGGTTATTCGCAAGGTAAAGGGGTGGGTGCAAACAATGCTGCAGGACACGTGAAAATACATTTACAGTCCGTTACCCAGTAGAATCAGTTTTCAGTCTTGAACCAATAGCAAAATCAAACTCATCTTCAAAGCAAGCATCTTATCACAGACCCATAATAGCTGGTCCCTCCAGTTCAGGCATGGACCCTACATTTCTCAAGTACCCTACGTCACAGGTTATCTGTCTCTTCACTTCTCCAAGGGCAATGGTTTGCCAGCCCGTTTCTCTCTCTCCAATGGACAAGGACAGAAGTGAGCCCTGTTTCTTAAACAATTCTCAGGATTTTCTTGTGGTCATCTTCTTTCCTCCCAGACATACTCTCCTTCTCTCTTTCCAGGACTTTGGCTTCTCCCAGCCTTAGCAATCTTCATCTGCACACAAGACCTCTCCTCTCATTCCTGAGCAACGCTTTGGTTTGCTCCCCACTGCTGTCCTGCTAGGACTTGACCCACCCAGCCCACCCTTATCTCCTCAGCATCTCATTCTCAAGCTACCTCATCACTACCCAAGACTTCCTTGAAATTTGCCTCAACGCAGAGAAAACAGAGGCAGAAAAGCCCAGAACAGCACAACAGGCAGCTTCTGGTAACAGCCCCTTTACAGGCAGAAATGTCACAGTGGGGCAGGAGCATTGCCTTCTGGGCCCAGCGTGCCCTCCTTTAAGCACAGCAATTAATGAAAGGAAAAGGAAACTATGCAACTTGGGCATGAACCAGCTGCAATTAAGAAAGTGAAAAGCACAGAGTGATTGTCACAAATACACATTTTCACAGAAAAGGGCTTCTGCCAATAGACAATCATACAGCCATTTAGGAGAAGTTCATATACAGACACAAACGTTAGGAAAGATTTTTCCATAAACACAAATGTGACTAATTGTGACATTACAATGTAGCATTTCCCTTCATTATTTTCCTTCTTTCTTGCCCACTCCCATTTTATCCCTTATATAAATCTGGATAACTGTAGTACTTTCAGAGTGTACATTTTAACTGCAGATACAAAAACTGTTACTATTGCCTCAAACTGTTTAGACTGCTTGTCTCTGTGTATTCCTTTTATAGAAAGAATAAAAATGTTTACCTCTGCTTGAAATGGTTCTTTCTCTCTCCCCACTGAAGATTAGCCAGCACTAGGGTAGAGCAGCAGCAGCTTAACTATGCATGGTAACCCCATACAGCAATAGAGGACTTACTGTGAGGTTTCCTGTAGAGAATTCAGTTCTATTTTTCTTTTACTGTATGTCATTCCCTGCAGCATGGTGATCTGTAACACCATGATGGAGATTAGTTTAATGCTGTCTGGGAGGAAATAGTAAGCTATGGGCTGACACAGCAGCTCTTGCCCCAAACTTTGATTTTATTCGGTAATATCCCTATTGAACACAGGTGAGGCCTCCGGTGGTGAATCTTACAGAAGAGGCCAGTTCTTAGCCATGTGGCCCAAACACCAACATGATCAGGAGAAGAAAATTTAATTTCATGTTTTCTGAACTGATCTACGACCAAAGAATGGTGTAAGTCATAAATATGAAAAGATGCAAGAAAGTATAAAACATTCCTCTCTAAGCTATGGCCTAGGCACTAACCAGTAAGTGTGCTAATCTCGCTTCGTTTGGCAGCCGCATGTGTCAAAATTTAACCCCTGGAGAGATGCACCACGAGCGGATGTGGCCATTTGCTGACCTGTACAACAGGCTCCCTTTTGTGCCCAAAAAACTACTTTTAGACAATTCCTCCTCACTTTCAAAATCTTCCTTGTTAGCACCTTTTCTCTGCTCAAAGGATGCACATAAAAATCACTCCACTTACAGAAATAAAGCCATAATTTATTTGCTGGTGAGATTCTCAAGCCACAGTGAGAAACTGCAAAAACAGTGCAGTTGAACAGAAAATGTCATTTCATCTTTGTTTTTCAGAGTACAAGTGCCAACAGCATTTCAGAAACTAAGCTCAAGCCATCACAAAATTTTTTAAGCAGCAGCCAAGCAGGCCCTAGCAGTTAGGGCTCTTACGCACTCCAACCAAAATAAAACTCAAACAGCATTAAGGTAATTAAAGGATGAACACAGCCACCGCCCTAGGCAGCCGTAGTAAAACAGATGGGCTACACCACCACGGTTTCAGGGTAAATGCGAGAAGCCAATCGCTGGCTGTGGCAGCACCCAGCAGCGCTGGAAGCATTTTGAAGAAGTCCCCGTGCAGCCAGTGGCAAGAGGAGGGGAAGGCAATGGCAGGCAGCTCCTGGAGAGTGGGCAGAAAGGCAGAGGTTGCAGAGAACAGCCAAGATATCCCTATTGTGTGAGTACTGAAGAAGGAAGGGCACACATCAAAGATCTTTCATCACTCCTAGACAAGACCTTGGGATCCATGGTGTTTTCCACAAAGCCTCTTTCCACCCCTCTGCTATCAGCAGCCAGTAAGTAAGTTGAACAGTTTTAACGCTTTTTAAGAGATCTCAGGCAACTTTTTGGTATATTCCCTTTTTCTGAAATAGAAACTACTATATTGTTATGTTACAAAAAATGTTGGAGTTTAAAAGCAACTGAGTAAATAATGTTAATCCAAAATTAATGTTGCTCTATTAGTCCCTAAAAGCAAAGACATTAATGACAAGAATCAGATGGCACACATGGCCTGGGCACATGTGGAAAACACGCAGGGTTTCACAACTAGGGCGTCACAGAATTTCCTTTGTTTATGGGAAGATCCCACAGGGCTGAGAACAGCCCAGGCAATGAGCACCACGTTTTCTCTCAATTCCTGAATATACAATATACTGTATGACACTCAGCAACAATGACTAATACTTCTAGACTGTTACTGAGTCTTTGATGCTACTTTACTGTTATTCTTGGCACACTATTTCCTTTGAATTAAGAAAAAGAAAAGCTTTGGAAAACTTTTGGATACATCAAGGCTCTTCTTCAGGC